TTAAAAAATAATAATAATAAAAAAGAATAAAATAAAGGAGGAATAACTGCCTGTAAGGCGGTTCACACCACCACCACCCCGCCTCAGCGCTCATAGCTGCCACAGGCCCTCACTCTTCAAAATGGATGACTTTTCTCTCCAGCTTTGAAGCTTCTTCTGGTGCTCTAAGGTTACAAACGTCCTGGAGGCAGCTGATCTCACTGAGACTAACTTGGCAAGTCTAACAATTCCAGTGAATCTAAAAATCCAGCCGGGGATTAGCAGTGCCTTCCCCACTGCAGCTTCAGAGGTCAGGCTCCTCAGAGGGTCAGTCTCACAGCAATATTCAAACTGTCCGTGGTTTCAGACATACAAATTGCAGTCCATATCCATTTACTCAAAAGCAACTACGTACTTAATTTCGACTTCCTTTTCACTTACTGGAAACAGTAATGGATTTCTTCATGTATTCATTGTAATTTCCTGGTATACCTCACAGCTGGCAATGTGCCGAACACATCCTTTGTGCGGTTCCACTGACTTCAACTGCGTTGCACCAAAGGCTAGGCTGGTCCTTTAATTCCAGAAGGATTATATCCTTACTCAGATAATAAATATAACACTATTTCTGGGCCAAATTCCTGATTCTCCATGGGAATTGTTTTTCACTTTTACTGTCTGAAGACTGCAAAATAAGTTTATGCAAATGAATAGCTCACAGAAAGCTCATAGAACCTCAGAGCCAGGCACAAACGTCCACTTGATTTTCTTTTTAAACACATTTTTGATAATTAAACGTAGTCCTTAATACACAGAGAAAGTGCAGGTGCTATTCATTGCACCAACTAAAGCTACTGCTGGCATGAGAAGCACTAACCACCACGTAGGTAGAAAAAGGAAATTGAAAGGTAAACAGTGAAGTATACCACACCCGAGGGGTGGGTAAAGCGTCACCGAGAAAGATGCCTCGGCATCTACTACCATACGGAATCACTCAATCTCACCGAAAGGGGAGTATTCGCCATCAGATCTGATGTGCTTTTCTTTTTTTTTTTTTTTTTTAATTTCCTACAAGAAACAAGGCTATGTTTGTGTCAGCCACCAAATCTGCCAGTTAGTACACACAGAGCAGGACGTACTCACTGAATAGCATCAATTAATCTGGTCAGGAAGAAAGGTCGTCTTCCACCTGAATTGGGCCCTGATCTACTACTCTACTGCAGGTCTAGCTTGCAGTGCTGTTTTTCTTAACAGAGATTTCACCTTGGCTTCTTGCTGCTAACTTCTGGCCATAATCTCAGTGGGTGAATAAGTGAGCAAAGGTGATGATAATGAATAGACCATGCAGCACCAGCGTGTAGCCAGGACAAGACAAATATTTGCAGACCTTGATGCTGCAGAATCTATCAGTTGTTGTCAAAACTTCTTGGTCACTTCCACGACCCAGGGCTGAGATAAGAGGATTTCTTTATCTTGCAGTCTTTTTATGCTGGCTCTCCCTGTCCTACAAATAATATGACCTTCCACAGAGCCAAACCCCATGCACTCTAGATTTGGCACGATTTAAAAGCCAGGAAGTTGAGCTCAGGATGTATAGAGTGCCACACATGGTCAGAATGATAACCATTTGTTTGTGCCAGCTGTGTTTGCTTGACTTTTTCCACTTCTTTAGTACAGTAAAAATAACCAATGTTGTTTTGAGGCATCTGTTACGACTAGACTAACTCACCGAATGAATTGGAGAGACTGGGAAGAATTAAATGGCAATTCTCGACAGAAGTTTTGTCTTCAGTTGCATTTAATTAAGCTATTCCATTCTTGACAGAATTCTCAAGAAGCTAAATCTTGAAATTACGCTGTTATCTTTACTGAAATTATTTCTAGTCCAGGAGAACATATCACAGAACATCAGCAACAATAAAGATATGCTGAGTCTGTTAAGAGCACAAACTAATAGAGTGAGAGCCAAAAGGGGACCTTGCTCATAAGGGGCTGGCTGCAGCTTATCTGCTGGGTCCCATTCCTGGCTCTGCCTCACACTTCCTGCACGGGCTTTGCCGAGACATATCTATGCCTCACTTCTCTATTAAAAAAGAAGGATTAAAGAGTCAACCTATTTGCAATAAGGCTTCTCTCCCAACAAGAGCATTCAAACTCCTCAACTCCTCACACAGCAGAACCCTGCCATAATGGGAGCCTCAGTGCTGAACAACACCAATAGCGAGCAACCTCCTCCATAACAGCACAGCCCATATTTCTATATGGACGGATATCTTTTCTTGCTGTATGCATGTATACTGACCAGGGTCTTTGGTCTATTTATTTATCTATAAAAAAGTGACTTTGCATTTATAAGGTTTTTTGTTTTGTTTTGATTTTTTAAGTGCCAGCGTCTGGGTTTCAGAGAGCAAAAGTTTGCTTTGGCTGACAACTGTCAGGATGCTGCAGACAGAAATAAACACTACTCTGCAATAATAACTGTCATTTTTTTTAAATCTCCATTAATTTTTGAGGAAAGATTGCTTCTCTGGAGACCCTGGAAACGATTTAATATCAGAGTCACTTAAAATTTGTTACCTGCTTCCTAAAGTCACAACTCATTAATAAGGAAGCCGTTCTTGGAGAGCACAAAAGCCTTGGCAAACCCAATAGGTGCCCTGTAAAATGGGTTTTAGGCCATTTGCATATGCTTCTGTGGTCTAAAAATATTTTTTTTAAATATACTGGGACAACAACTTTAATTCTCAGGCACACAATTTCTGTCACTAGCTGAAAGGGCAATGTGAATTGTGGTCCCCCCTGCACCTTAAACTCTTTTTACAGATATTAATGTGCAACAAAGCAGCACAGGTCTGGATTTCCACAATTTTTTTTTCCTATTCGTAGCTTAAATATCATAATTTCCAAGACAGATGGGAAGCTAGGTAATTTGAGCACATTTAAGATATTTACAGTACAATGGAACACTAGGTTGTATGACAGTCCTCATCTTTCTCTGTGATGTAGAGATGGAAGTAATTAAGCTTGAAATGTTGTAAAGAAATAAATACATACATTTATATATATATATATATATGGTCATCAAAATGTTTAAGTATAGTTTCTGAGATATCTGAATAACTTTATCCCTTAGATATATCACCTATTTACTGAAAACAACAACAACACCCCACCCTACATAGCCAAAAACTCTTCAGAAATTATGGTTATCTGCTATTTTGATTCTCTTATTACTTTTTTGACATATGTTCATTAACCAGTTTTATTTTAAATTGGAACCTTGTTAAGTAATTGAAAGAAATTAGTTTTCATTTAATTCTAAAGAATCTAACAGTGTTAGGCCAAATCGTAATGTTCTTACCTCTGTACTGTTTTACAGACAAAATCTGTACTGAAAAAAGAAATTGGTTGAGAAGATATTTACAAGTTTTTTTTTTCTTTTTAATTCTGAAAAATTAAATACTTCTGTCTTGGTTCTCCTGGATCCTCTGAAATTCTGATGAATTTATATCAGCTAAGATGGTGCCCCTTTGCTTTCTGGATATTTTCAAGGAGCTGTACTGGTCAGCAAATCATAAAGTGTGAAAAGCAACCCTGCCAAAACAGCTACCCGCCCATTAGCAATATGCATCGTTTACCACAGATGAGTCAGACGTACGACAGAGACAACTACAGAGTTTCAGACTAATTTAAGTGTTCTAATCTATTTTTCCCCATAATTTAAAAGGTCAGAAAGCAAGGACTTTGGAATCATGGGAATTAGCTTTCTGGCAATACTATCGATAAGATAATGGAATAGGAATTAAAAAATAATAATCTTTTCTGAATTAAACTTTTCCCTTTATGTACAAGAATTCACTTAAAAAAAAAACTGAGAAAAATCTGCATCAGTCATACTTCATGTGGACTCAGTTTCAGACTGCTGGCTTTCCCCTAAATACTGTAGATTAGCAGGTGACTACCAGTCTGGAGAATGGGAAGGAACTGGTTCTGCAGTTGCTAGGTTTTCAAATGAAACAGCACTGACATTACTACATCTAGTATAGGTGATATATTTATTTGTTTTCTCAGTTTTTTTTTTTGTGGGCTGAGAATCAGCATGCCCTTTGGCTGGGATTGGTGTGGGGTTTATTTATTGCTTTACTGTTACGCGCTGCATTTGTGAACCGTGGCTCAATTCCAGCTCCCTATAAAGTCAATGAAAAAGTTCCTGCCGACTGCTGTAGGTGTTTTATCAAGGCTGTAATGAATAATCTCATCTCCCACTCCAAATCAAAGAAGATTAAAGCTACAGGAGCCGTTGGTTAAGTTCTGGCAAATATTTGGCCAGATAAGATCTAGTTCTGTCTACCTACCTTCCAAATAAAAACAATTCAACAGAAACGCATGGTGTGAATTTCCCAGTGAAGATGATGCACGTTCCAGACAAAAAAAGTGCTTCATAACTGAGCCAGCTCATATCTATAGTTTTGGGCTAAAACTATGCTGAGAATGAACTACAAGATCGCACTTGCTGATTTGAGACTAGATTACTGCTTCTATTCCAAAACCAGCAGAGAACCCTATCCTCATGTTTTTGGAATGAAGTTCTGTTTTCACAGACAACGAGGGCAGGATACTGCCCAGGATCAAATAAAAGCATACAACACTGGCAGCTTTAGCTACATAAAGCAAAGGCATGGAAAAACAACAAGTGCCAATAAATAGATCAGAGTGTATGTTTATGAACAAAAGCTAAATAAAAGAACAAAAAAGTTTCTATTGTTTTGCATTAAAAGTTCTCCTGACTAAATACCAGTCAAGGATTTGGCCTGTAACCCAGTTTTCAACTGAAAACCATAGGCAATGGTCAGTTAACGAAAGATTAATTTCTTACTCTTCTATGTCTTGTGAACTGGAATTGAAATGTCTTACAGTGAATTGGATCTCCAATGAGCCACAAAGTCTTGAAGTTTAATTGGAATCTTTTTTCTAGATTAATCATTCTCATGAATAATATTTTCTTCCTTTCCCCCCACCAGGTGTGAACTTCATATTTTTCTCTGGAACTAGGCAACAGAGGAAAAGATCAAGATGGTCCCAAATTATTCTACTGAAGAAACTGTTAAAAGAATCTACGTTGACTGTCCAGTTTCAGGAAGGCACAGTTACATCTACGTTATGGTTCCAACTGTTTACAGTATCATCTTTATCATAGGCATATTTGGGAACAGCCTGGTCGTTATTGTCATTTACTGCTACATGAAATTAAAAACAGTAGCCAGCGTCTTTCTGCTAAACCTGGCCCTGGCTGACTTGTGTTTTCTCATAACTCTGCCACTCTGGGCAGCCTACACAGCCATGGAGTACCAGTGGCCATTCGGCAACTGTTTATGTAAGTTAGCGTCAGCGGGGATAAGTTTCAATTTGTACGCCAGTGTGTTCCTGCTCACGTGCCTCAGTATTGACCGGTACCTGGCCATAGTACACCCCGTGAAGTCCCGAATTCGGCGTACCATGTTTGTTGCCAGAATAACTTGCATTGCCATCTGGCTTCTAGCCGGCGTGGCCAGTTTGCCTGTCATCATTCACCGGAATATATTCTTTGCTGAGAACTTGAACATGACAGTCTGTGGTTTTCGGTACGACAACAATAATACAACGCTCCGGGTCGGATTAGGTTTATCCAAAAATTTGCTGGGCTTTTTAATTCCTTTTCTGATCATATTAACAAGCTATACCTTAATTTGGAAGACCCTGAAGAAAGCATATCAAATTCAAAAAAATAAGACCAGAAATGATGATATTTTTAAGATGATTGTGGCAATAGTATTTTTCTTCTTCTTTTCTTGGATTCCTCATCAAGTGTTCACTTTTCTGGATGTATTAATTCAATTACATGTAATAACAGACTGCAAAATCACTGATATTGTGGATACGGCTATGCCCTTCACCATTTGCATTGCTTACTTTAACAACTGTTTGAATCCTTTCTTTTATGTTTTTTTTGGAAAAAATTTTAAAAAATACTTTCTTCAGCTAATAAAATACATTCCACCAAATGTCAGTGCACATCCCAGTTTAACAACGAAAATGAGTTCCCTCTCATATCGACCACCAGAAAACATACAATGAACCACTAAAAAGACTGCTGGGTCTTTTGACAGCGAGTGATGTGTTTTGCAATATACTTTTTCAGAACAACCTTGTGAACGAAGCAGCAAGAGTGACAGAATTCATCTGCAGTCCTGAACATCACAGCTTACTGCTCATTACTAAAACATTAAACCACCTCAAAAAAGTCATACTGTAAGGATTTAGCGGTGGTCTTTTGTTTTATATTGTGAAGAGGACTGCTTGGTTTTCATTTTGTTCTCTATTGGAAGCAACATAAACAGTGGACAGGTAGTGCGAGGTTATTCTCAGCATCCTGCCATTTACTTCAGAGAGGGTAGATAAAACTGTAAAGATCTCTGAACTGAAGTTAAAGGAAAAGCATGTGTAAATTATATTAATTGAGAAGGACCTGTTTTGCACATACATGAGCAATTTTATTGTAAGTATGTGGAATTTTGTTCAAAGAGTCAGAAGACATGCACTGCTTTTTTTTTCTCTCTCTGTAATTACATATATTATTATAACATAACTTGTTATTCAAATGTATGTTACATCTACAAGCCCAATTCCAAACTTGGATAGAAATTTAAAGACCTTGAAATTGGTCTAATTCCCCGTTATGCTACTATTTTTCATTTAAAAATGGCAAAAGTTTATAATACATGCAATAAATGCAGATTTATTTATTAATTATAGAAGAAATATATTTCTAGATTTATATTCCTACTCAAAGATTTCAAGTAGTTCAACTAATATGGCTGTCAGTCACACCACTAAACATCTGAGACCAAACTTTGTTCTTGATTTTTATGGAGTTACTCTCTATTTATATAAAACCATTCCTGGAATAAGGAGCATTTACTCCCTGTAGGACTCCCGCTGACGCGTATGGAACTATTTCAAATTCACACTAGTATAAGTCAACAAGGTTTGGTTCAAACTCCCCTCACAAATGAGGGGGAAAAGGTGATAACCACTGTAGGACTTTTCAGCTAATGATGTACTCATCTGCCCTTCTGACCTCAAGTAATGAACTCCAGAAAATATTTGTTCTTAATTCAGTCTCATCTATTTTCTTCAAAAATAACTAAGTCCATAAATACTTTTCAACGTAGCAAAATGCAAGAAAAAGTCCAATATTTTACATATATCATGTAGGCAAATATATGATCCTGGAGAATATGCAGTATTCATAGTCTTAAAAATTATATATTTAATGTGATTTTGACTCAGCTAGCAAATGGTTAGATTATCCTTGTCTTCTGATTATCAGTGTCTTGCATATACACAACTATTTTTTTTTTAAAGATTATTTCCTAAAGTTAAAATAATCTTAAGTCAAAATACCACAAGAGAAGTTATTTCTATAGTTTAATGCTTTAAAAATGGGACTGGGAGCAGGTCTGGGAACCTGATGCCTCGTCCTGATCTTTTATTCATTTACTTTAAGGCAGTTCTCTTGAATTGTGCCTTTGTTCTTCCAGCTGCAGAATGGGAACAGTCTCCACTTACATACTTTACAAGAGCATTGCGAGGATTCAGTAAAACTTCTAAAGCACTATATGAACCTTACATTAAAGAGCTCATTATTTTAATATGTTAATAGTAGGCTAATAGCTGAGAATTTGAAACCTGGATACATGTCATTTAAAGAGGCAGGTAAATTATTCTCATTATATATAATATGTTACATTTAGCCTCTGTCTATCCTTAGATATTCATGTGAATCAGTCAATAAAAATGAATAGGACAACAGTCCTGTGCATTACAAATAGTATCCAGAGCAGTTACACCACCGCAGCACTCAGTGAGCTGATGAAGGACTAACGGAGCTTGCCATTTATCTGTATGGCGTTTTGTTCATGCACGCACACACACGCACACGCTCCGAGCAGCACTGGGAGCCTTCCCTGGCAGATGTAGCTGTTTCTTAGACATAATTCAATGTGCTGCGCTTGCCACCTGCTGGATGCAGCCATAAATTTCGTGGTGTCTCTTCCTAGGACAAGTTTAAGATGAAAGACTCTTT